CTTATCCAAAGCACCATATTAGGACTCATCCTGTGTGGACTGAAGTCCAGTTAGCCGTCAAGCGCCTTAGCTGCACCACCCTGAGACTCCTAGCTCCATTGCTGCTGAGTCCATTCTAGTTCATGGTAACACCGTGGTCCAGACTCTTCTCTATCTGGCAGGCCAGCAAAGAGTCTACACAAGAACACTTTGCCTTCTCATTGGTGTGGACACAGGGCAAATCAAATCCCTGCAAATGCTTTCCCTTCTTTCAAGACGGTTTATCTGGGTTTCCAGGATTAATGGGGAGAGCTGTCATATAAGTAAGTATGTGACAGATGCCCGGGGAATGTTACCCAGAGCGGCTGACAAGGCATTCCTCCCAAAGCCTCCCAGGGTGTCTCTAGAATGTTCAGCACCCACCCGAGGCTTTGCAGAGTGATGGCAATGTTCTGTGGATACACCTGTCCTGGGGAGAGGTCCCATCAGAACAGGGACTACTGGAAACTGAGGTCTGGTCTCATTCTGTGGACAGGCTTTTCCGTGACTGCTGGATCTACTTTAGACTAAAGTCAGTGACTAAATGGAGACGCTTGAGGACACATGGCACCAAGATGTGAGGTAGTGGCTTCCCTGAGTCACACGGGGACAGAGCACAGGGCATGGATCTGAGTACCGAGGGAGAAGAGCGCCTCTCTGCTTATGGCTGGTACCTGACCAGAGGGCATGCATGACACTGTGCTCTATTGGAAAAGACAGTGTTTTCCCTTTAAGGCTAATGCCAGCAACAGCAGTGTTGATAAACTGACAAAATCCTCTGGGAAAGGGGACCCCTGTGACCCAGAACACTGAGCTCCCAGCCTGGGCCACCCTAACAAAGGTCTTGGTGCCAATATGCAGCCAGGAATTCTGTGGGTTGATGGGGGTGTTTCTGTACCCTCGAGGTGGTACACACATGTCCCCTTGGAACTCTCAGACCCTGGACATTGATGGGTTGACCCCTTTCTGGAAGCCCCTTGCTTTTCTGAGACAAGGGTCATCAGCCTTACTCTCTTCTGGTTGTTAAGTGCTGTGGAGTTGATTCCGACCCATTGTTGTTGTTGTCAGGTGCCATTGAGTCAGAACCGACTCATAGCGACCCCATGCACAGCAGAACGAAACAATGTCCCATCCTGGGCCAACCTCACTACCGCTGCCACACTTGAGTCCATCAATGATGCCACCTGGCCAATCCATCTTGTTAGGGGTCTTCCTCTTTTTCTCTGACCCTCCACCTTGCCCAGCATGACATCCTTCTCCAGCGACTGTTTCCTCCGGACAATATGTCCAAAGTATGAGAGATGAAGCTTAGCCATCCTGGCCTCCAAGGAGCACTCTGGCTGCACTTCTTCCAAAACAGATCTATTGGTTCTTTTGGCAGTCCATGGCACTTTCAGTATTCTCCTCCAACACCACAACTCAAAGGCATCAATTCTTCTACGATCTTCCTTATTCACTGTCCAGCTTTCCGCATCCATATGAGGCTATTGAAAACACCATGGCCTGGGTCAGGCGCACCTTAGTCCTCAAACTGACATCTCTGCTCTTCGATACTTTAAAAAGTTCCTGTGCAGCAGATTTGCCCAGTGCAATACGTCGTCTGATCTCTTGACTGCTGCTTCCCTGAATGTTGATAATTGATCCAAGAAGAATGAAGTCCTTGACAACTTCAATCTTTTCTCCATTGATAAGAATGTTGTTTATTGGTCCAGTGGTGAGGATTTTTGTTTTCTTGACATTGAGATGTAATCCATATCGAAGGCTGTGCTCTTTGATCTTCATAAGTAAATGTTTCAAGTCCTCTTCACTTTCAGCAAGCAAGGTTGTATCATCTGCATATCACAGGTTGTTAATGAGTCTTCCTCCAATCTTGATGCCACGTTTTTCTTCATAGAACCCAGCTTCTCATATTATTTGCTCATCATACAGGTTGAATTAAGTATGGTGAAAGAATACAACCCTGTCTCACACCTTTCCCAATTTTAAAACATTCAGTGTTCCCATGTTCTGTTCGAACAACTGCTTCTTGGTCTTGGTACAGATTTCTCAGAAGTACAATTAAGTGTTCTGGAATACTCATACTTCTCAATGTTGTCCATAGCTTGTCATGATCCACACAATCGAAAGCCTTTGCGTAGTCAGTAAAGCACAGGTAAACATCCTTCTGGTATTCTCTACTTTCAGCCAAGATCCATCAGATATCAGCAATGATATCTCTCATTCCACGGCCTCTTCTGAGTCCATCCGACCCATAGCGACCCTATATAAAGTTTCCAAGGAGCAGCTGGTGAGCTTGAACCACTGACGTTGCAGTTCAAACAACTTTGCCGTCTGACGCATTAGCCCACAGCGCCACACCAGGACTCCTGCGTTCGCATATTGATCAGGCTTCCTGGCTTTAGACTCAGGGGTGAAAAACAGATATGACAGCAGACAGGCAGGACCTCACCCACCAGTGAAACCCAGCCCTTGTGTCTGAGGCCTCCCTTCACCTCGCCGCCAGTGTCCCGGCCCAAGCCAAGTGGAGGAAGGCTGTCAGTTCCTGTGGGCCCTGACCCTCCTCTCATTTTTAGTTTCTTTCTCCCTTTTCCACTTACAGCCACTTTCCAAACCACCATTTCAGCATCTATTAAAAGACACATAAAATACCCAATTGGCCAGAATTCCCAATATTTAGAAATATGGCCGCTTGTTATTACAGCTGAGTGGGGCATGCTGCCTGCGTTCTGGATACAGCACCTGGACCTTTCACCCAGCTGGGGAAGTACTGGCAGGTGGGAAAGTGGGGTTGAAGGTGGGGGAACTAAGCCCTGGGACTCAGCATCACACCCACACTGCATTTTGTTTTTAGATATTGGTTTCAGTCCTGGCTTCCATTCTTATGGAAACAACATCGTCCATAGGAACCTATGCCCAACTCTTTCAGTCCAGAAGGGGAAATCCAGCAGACCTAGCTTATTGTCCGTTTGATCCATTTATAAAGCACTAAGAGGCCCTCCCCAAAGACACCCCCCACAGCAATGACCCTGGGGATTCTGTTGTTGGTGTTGTTAAGTGCTACTTAGTCAGTTCTAACTCACTCATAGCGAATCCTGTACTGGGTTTCTGAGGAGCAGCTGGTGGGTTTGAACTGCCGACCTTGTGTTTCCCAGTGCAGTGTTGATCCAACAGTGCCACACCAGGAGTCCCTGGGGATTTTAGGAGGAAAAAAAAGTTACATCAAGTCAGCTCCAACTCATGCTGACCTCATATATATCAAAGTAGAACTGCGCCCCATGGGATTTTCAATGGCTGAGGTTTGGGAAGTCGGTCTCCAGGTCTTCTAAGATGCCTCTGTGTGGGCTTGAACCTCCAGCCTTTTGGTTAACAGCGAAGTGCACTGACCATTTGCCTCACCCAGGGACTCCTTTAGAAGTAGAAGGCAGGCAAAATGCTGGTGTTTGCTTGAGTCAAGCCAAGGAGAACTCCAAGTTGAAGCTTTCAGGAAGAAGAAAGATCCAGAATTTCTGGCACTTTCATCACTGCGCCAAGCCTCTGTCCAGATGTGTGTGTGTGTTGGTGGGGGTGAGGTGGGAAAGGGGAGAACAACGGTACACAGGGAAAGGCAGAAATCATAGGTGCCACCCACAGCCCACTACTAGAGTCCTCATTGGTGGGATTCTGAAACATTCCCAGGACATTGGTGCCACTGCTTTTGTGTCTTAGCCTAGTTTCCTTTGAAGAGGCTCTTCCAGAAGCATGGAGAAACCTCCACCGCCAGAATACACAATAAAGACCAAGCAAAAAATACTGCCACTTTTGACTTGCCAAAGATGAGAGCGCCGAGAGAAGGCTCCACCCCTCCCGTGGTGATAGTCATGCCTTCATGACCTCCTCCCCAATCATCTGCCCTTGGGACATAGTTCAGGTCCCTGAATGAATGTGGATGCTCACCTGAGTCCTGCCCCCTGCTAGACTGGAAGCCCCATGAGGGAAGGAATTGTGTCTCCTCCTTGCTAATCCCTGCAGGACAAGGTAGCACAGAGGAACCGTGTGGCCACCTTGCTAACACCCCTCCCAGAATTGCGCAGAACAACAGAGAAACCAACCTCTAGATGCACACTGCTGAATTCACTGGAGAATTCAGAGGAAATAAGGAGAAAGTCCACTACATATTTTATAATGTGTCTTATCCCCATGAATTGTGTCAGGCATACATGGCTGATGTAGGCTAATTACTTGGACTCCCTGTGTGGGTCTTTAACCCAGTTATTAGCCTCCAGGAATCAGCTTTTCTCCAAAATGATGAACTAGCTGTATTTCCAGGGTTGTGCTAGTTCTAGAAGGATGCTTACATATTGTTATCATTAGCTTTGCCGAGATGGCTCCAAATCATGGCCACCTAACATAGAACAGATGCAAATACTGCCCTGGCCGTCCCCTCTTCAGGACCTTTGGTGTGTTTGAGTCCATTGTTGTGGCCAATGTGGTAATACAGCTCATGGATGGATCTCCTGCTGTTGACTGACCCTCTGCTTTACTAGGGAGCACGGTGGCTCCATACATAAGCACTGGACTGCAAACCACAAGGTCCACGGTTCAAGCCCACCCAGCTACTCTGTGGGAGAAAGATGAGCCTTTCTGTTCCAGTGAAGATTTGGAACCTCACCCTCACCCTGTTCAGGGTCTCTATGAGTTGGAACCGACTCGATGGTATTTAACGGTAACAACTACTACACTATCACAATGTCCTGTCCCAGCCATTGGCTTTTCCTGATGCCATGTCCACAGCACACAGTGCAAAGTCCTCCCCAGCCAGGGGTGACACTGTTGAGATGAGGGGTACCAGTTGTACACAGAGCTCTTTAGTTCACATTTTATAGACTCTGCTAGGTCTTCACCTTATTTTGTCAGAGAACATTTTGATCCGAACCCACTGTTTATCACCCACTTAGAACAGCGTTTGTCAGAAACTAACAATCCCTTTCAAAATTATTTTGCAGCAAATCTTGACTGATTCAGAAGTCTCGTCACAAGAGGGCTGCATCAAAAAGGTAGGAGAGCTTGTTCAGTACCTTCTTTTCTCCCCGCCCCCTTTTGCGTTCTGGTCAGGTGGTTCTGAGATTTCCAAGCTACCTCTGTCGTTAATAAGCATGTGGTGGGGTAGGCTGGTGTCTGTCTGTGGACAATGCATGACCCGTGCACAAATATGTGTCTGCAGAGCAGTGATCTGGCTGTCATTAGAAAGGGAGCTCAGTCTTTTTGCATGAGCAGGTAGGGGCTCGTCTCTGAGCATTCTAACTCTTGAGTAGGAGAAGAATTGGTACACTGTGGGGCCACGCAGACACATTCAAATTAAATAAACGGAGATTGTGTTTATTTAACTATCTTCGCTGGATAGTCTCATGAAAAGAATATTGGGAAGGGGTGTAGGGGGACAGCAATTGGCTGCAGATTCAACAAAGCCTTTTGGCTGTTCTAATAGCTTCCAAAGACAGCTCTGGCATCGTGTTAAATAAGCAAACCATTAGGTTGAAAGAAAAAGTGTCCATGCGGGCATTATCTGCTACTTTGCTGACTGATCAGGGATAATAACTGGTTGACAAACATTACCTTTAAAAGATCCAGAGAGTAAGCCATCACAGAAAATACACACATCCCCCGGGAAAGGGCACACACGCACAAACACACACGTGCATACCCGCCTGTTCACACTGCAGTCAAGCCACCTGAGAGAGTACCGGGTTCAGAAGCCACTCATGAGGGAGAGCTCAGCTTTTAAGGTCTGTGCACCACATACACCCACACCATGCATGCACGCATATACACTTCCATCGCTCATTATCTGCACACAATATGTTCTCACTCACAGACAACTATTACCCTAATAAAATTACAACATCCGCTCTGTGATTGCATCTTTGGTTGAAAACATCACAAGATAAAGCAGAGAGTTGCCTTTAATTCCATCATCCCCAGACAGCTGCAGGGGGTGCTACCTGGATTGCTGGAAGCGAAACAACAATGAGTCACCTAGCTCCTGCCAAAGGCGGCTTCTCTGGTGTCACAGCTTGAATTGTTTTAGCCCAGGAAGGTCCCAGGATGGCCTGTATTGGTGCTGGGAGCCTCTGGTCTGAGCATGGCATTTGGCAGAGGGATCCATAGGAAGAAGGGACCCGCCTCTGTCCGCCACGCTGAATCTGGAGGTATCTGTTCTGGAAGAAACCTCACAATGCAGATACTTTTTGACTAGAGAAGGATTCTCTGGCAAAGGGGATAACTTGGTACCTTGTCGATTCCACAGCCCACGTGGCTGGCTCTGAACTTCCAAGGGATTTCTTTATCCAATTCCTAGTCCCCACTACCCAGACAAGCCTTGGCCATTCCTCCTTCAAAGCTACACAAATCCCAACAATGACTCCCCCCACATCTGTGAGTCAATCTGTAAGTATCAAGCAACTTTGCTGTGTTTCAACGAATGGCAGGATTTTTGCTTTCCCCTGGCAGAGACCACAAATACTCTGATCTCTCAACTTGTAGAGCGGACGTGAAGTGCTCATTTTTAGCACTGCAAATATGTAAACAAATTGTCTGATATTAGGGCAGGAGATCCTACTCACCTCTGTTCCTCCTGAATGCATTATCTGGGCTGTCCAGCCACATTCAGTTGTTGTTAGTTGCTTGTTGATTTGTGGGGACCTCGTGCACAATAGAACAAAATGTTTGCTGGATCCTGTTGCGTCTTCACATTCATGGGTATGCTCGGGTCTGTTGTGGCCAGCACCATGCATTTTGAGAGCCATCCAACCTTGGGGGCTCATCTTCTAGTGC